ATCAATACAACTATAATTATAAAGAATGATCAATTTATAAAATTTGTTAAAAATAAAAATGTGCACTGAGAAAAATAATTTCGTAATAATAAGAAAATAATTTAGTTGAGCAATAAATTGGGAAGTTTAGTTGGCTCGTGAAGTTTCAGTGTTAAAGTTTTTCACAGGAAAAACAAAGTGTTCTTTTAATCTAGAATTTGGTGTTAAAATAACCAGCAACAAATTCTAACGGCCTAGTTGCATCTATATATTAAATAAAAAATTTGGTAGAGAGAACCAAACTTTGGTAGATGATACTAAACATTTTTCTCAGTGTGACCCTCCAAGAGAGAAGGAACCTTTCGTCAAACAAATTTTAGGTTATGTTTAGTCATAGTTTTACCTTGATAATAAAAGTTTCTGTTTAATTATACTGCCGTACGAAGTAAAAACTTAGTTAACTCATATTTTGGCGAAAAATGAGTTTTTGGTATCAATGGATTCGTAATAAAAAAACGCGTCTGATGGTATTATTAAAAAATTTTTATTTAATTATTTATTGCAAAAAAATAATTATAAAAAATTGTCGAAAACCCAGAAAATGAAGAAATACTACATAAAAAGTATGCTAACTCGAGTTAAGGAGTCCGAAAGTCGTAGCTCGAGCATGATATAAGAAACAAAAACTCAGTCAACTCGAGTTGAGTATTTTTGCTGTCAAAAACGTAGTCGAATTTCATGCATAGTTTCGAAACGAAAACCTTAACTCGAGTTAAGTGAGTATTTATTTCGAAAAGTGGCGTGAGCTAGACCCTGTGTTTCGAAAGCAAACTCCTCAACTCAACATCGTTTAACTTCGGTTTCTCGTCGGGTTGGTTCGGAATCTCGCGTGCTATGATCATGCCGGTTTGTTATTCTTGCAAATAATGCACCGGCTTTTTAGAAAAAGTTTACTTTAGAAAAAAATAAATAAGTGAATAAGTGAAAAAAAAAACGAAAAAAATACAAAATTTTCTTTGATTTTTTTTACTTTTAAAAAGTTTAATTAATAGTTTTTTACTGTTGATTATTATATAAAGACTGTTGTAGTAATTATAAACAGCTGTTGTAAGTTATTTGAATATTATAAGCAAATATAATCAATGTTTTTCCACTAATAACGCCGTTTTTTCATACAATCCTTCTACACATTTTTAATTGTAATAAATTTTATACTGAAACATGTTGATTAAAATTTAATTTTTAAAAAAATATTAATAAATAATAAAATAATAAAAAAATATATAAATTAAAAATAATAAAAATAATCTTTGTTAATCACAATCAGAATAAAATTTAACTCAAAAACAAATTTTTTATAATGTGTATTTATTCCCCCACCTCGCGTGCTAGCTTGAGTTAGGTGAGTTTTTACTTCTGAGCGGCGGCTCGAACTCGCCTACCTTTTCGGAAAGCACTCCTTAACTCGAGTTAACTAAGTTTTGCTTGTGTAAAAAAACACTTATCTCAATTATTTAATATAATTTGTTTAAATAATCAATTTTTGACAACGGATTTAGAAAGAACTCTATTTATTTACCTAGAAAGTGAAGTTAGATTAAAGAATTATTTATATTATATTAGGTTTTTTAAGACAAACAGTCTTTCATCATTTTCTCGGTTTCACGAAAATATGAGTTAAGTAAGTTTTTATTTCGTACGGCAGTATAGGTAAAGTCAAAATTAATTTTTATTGAATTTTTTTTAAATGTAATGGAGAATTAAACATAAATATGTTTTGTATGAAAAGTTGATTTTATCTGAGTATTTTCACTTCAAAAATCACAAACATAACCTAAAATTTTCTTAAGGTCCCTACACTCGTGGAGCGTCACATATATTGTATTTTTAATATTATAATTATTATTTTAATTGTACTATAATATTTAACAGGAGTTAAATTTCGTTATAAAATTTTTAGGCCTGTATTCTTGCGATATTAAGGTTAAGAAGAAAGTTAAAAAATCTAAAAAAAAAAAAATTAAATAAAAATTCTGTTAAATGAAAAATAACCTCCATGAAGTTGGCGTCGACGCTCTGCGCCAAAAATTGTTTTTCACAGGAACAAAAATGTCAAATTATTTTTTTGTTTATAATTTTCGGTCCAAATTATCTGAGAAATACTTTTCAATGTATTATGTGGACCAAGAAGACTAGAACCAGGAGGGGAAACTCCGTTGTAAAGATGCGGCGTGACAAACAAGACACTAGAAGGCGTGGCTTATCGTTCGTGCATTGCTATTCAGACGAATTTCAGTGTTCTGCGCATACTTTCTTGACACTGATATTTGAAATGTAGCAGACGCTGTTTTTAAGTTTCTGTTTATGCGGTTATGGCAAATGGTTTACCCATAAATTTTTTGATGCGATTATATTTAATTAATTATATGTAACTAGCAAAATTAAACGCGCGCAAGCGCGCCAAATTGAGTGTTTAATTGTTTGTTATAAAGAAATTAAAGATTAATATTATCAATAATAATTTAATTTATTAGAATATTATTACATATTAAATGATAATAATGAAAATTATATGTTTACAAGCCTCGGATTATACGACTTTTTCTGACTTTTTTCAAAAATAAGACTTTTATCGACTTCTTTTAATAAAATGCGACATTTTTTTTAACATTTGAAAAAAATGTAAATAAAATACATTTTTCTAGTATAAAATGTAGATCTTCATCATATCTTCTTCAATTAAATTATTTAACAAATTTTAAACTAAAATGATTCTTCACTACATTAATTAATTTTAATAATTTTAATGAAATACATCACAAATTCAATTATATCAAAATTATTTTTCAATTAAAATTTTTATGAAATTTAACAATTGTTTATAATTTTTAAAAAAAAATATCACAATAAAATTTAATTATTTTTTAAAAATTTCAATTCAAAATAAACTAAAATTCAATTATTACCCAAAATTTTAATTCAAAATCAATTAAAAATCCAATAATTATACAAAATTTTCAATTTAAAATTTAATTATTTACCAAGTTTTCAATTTAAAATGAAATAAAATTTAATTATTTACCAAGTTTTCAATTTAAAATGAAATAAAATTCAATTATTTTCTAAAATTTCTATTCAAAATTAATTAACCAAATTTTCAATCAAAAATGAACTTAAATTAAATTATTATCCAAAATTTCAATTAAAATTTAATTATTTACCAAGTTTTCAATTTAAAATGAAATAAAGTTCAATTATTTTCTAAAATTTCTATTCAAAATTAATTATCCAAATTTTCAATCAAAAATGAACTTCAATTAAATTATTATCCAAAATTTCAATTAAAATTCAATTATTTCCCAAAAATTTTCAATTTAAAATCAAATATAATTTCATTATTCTCAAAAATTGGAATTCAAAATTAATTGAATTTTCAATAATTTGAATTTAAAAGCATCTAAAATTTAATTATTTCTAAAATTTTACATCGAAATTTTTTTTTTTTTGAAATTTAATAATTTCAATTATAACTCTAAGGAAATTCAATTATTTTTAACTATTTTAATAATATTCTTTGAAAATTCAACTATCTGAAACCATTTTTCAAATTATTGTATTTTGTCCGCATTTTCTAATAAATTTTTAGTGAAATCATCTAAAATTTTAATTACAAAACACTTAAAGTTTCAATTAATTTCAAAAATCTCAATTTTAAATCTTTGAAAATTCAATTAAATTTAAAAAATGTTTTCCAAAAATTGTTTGATAAATTATTTTCAGTTCTGGAAAATTTAATAATTGTTTGAAAATTAACAATATCTTTGAAATTTAATTATTTCTAAAAATTTCAATTTTAACCCTTCGAAAAGGATTATTATTAAAAAAAAAAAAAAATTTTATTTAAAAATCTGTAAAATATTTTTGTTAAAATAAAAAACAAATCCACTTTTTTTTGGAATATAAATCGACTAAAACGACTTTTTTGTGTCTTTAAGTTGATTCGAGGCCTGTGTTTTTATAATTAATATTTAATAGGTATTCGTTGGCACCTGGTACCTTAAAAATTAATTTTTAAAAATAAATGTTTTTCAAATTACTATCTTATACGAAATTTCCTGGCGCATCTTTTTTCTCATCATACATTTTTTGTACAATTTTTGAATCAATATACAACTTTAAAAAGAATTTCGTTGGTAAACGTTGTGTACTTCAGCTTCGTGAATTGAATTTTCGAATTTGGAATTTTAAAGAAACTTATTCCGAAATTTGGAAACACAATTATACAACTTTGGCAAAAATAAGAAAAAGAATTGTCAAAATTTGACACGTCATAAGATTACTATTCAAAAAAACACGTGAAATCAGAAAAGGCCAACTTCAAGTTAGGACAGAAGGACAGACCAAGCATTTTATTATTATATAATTTACCTAACCAAGCAGACGCAAACATTTGCAGCTGCTTGCTACGAAATTTCCCCTTCAAAACCTACATGGATAGTATGCGCAGAATTCGTAAATTCGTTCTATTAGCAGTGCACGAACTTAAACGACACGCCCACCGTGTGCACGCTTACCATGCCACTACTCACTGCGGTAAAGCGTGGAAGTTTCACCTCCTGGTTCTAGTCTTCTTGATGTGGACCCAAAACCTTTTTAAAAATGATTTGATATTTTTGGTCCCATGTAAAATTATTTTTCGACGCTGAGCGTCGACGCCAACTTCATGGAGGTGAAAAATACGTTAAAATTTGTGAAATATTCTTAATATAAATTCGGTTGAAAAAAAAAAATTATAAATATAAAAAATAGAGTTAAAAAAATTATTTCAACTTTGAACAAAAAATTATCTTTAAAAATTGTTTTTGTAATGGTTTTAATTTTTCCAACAGAAGAAGTTCTTTTTTTTTTGATTTGTATATACACTTATAATAAGTAATTTCCGTGCTATAATGAGCGTAGTTTATCAATATGATTAACGAGGGATATATATATTTATATTTTATTTTTATTTTGTGTTACAGGCAGTCAAGTTAGAGTCCGTTCATCCTGGCAGGACGCGATATCTCGTCGTGGTATCCTGTACTGGAAGACAGGATGCCGAGGAGAGTTGTCTGTTGGGAATAGACTGCAATGCCAGGGCGACGGTTGGACTCGTTCTACGAGTTTTGGCCGACACTGCCATCACTCTCGACGGCGATGGGTATGTTTTTAATTCCATTTCAATTCATTCTATATATCTTTAAAACTTCTTAAATCTCAGTATATTGTACTCTCTATATCTCTAAAGAAAAAAGAATAAAAAAAAATATCCCAATAAAGAGGTAGTTAATGAGAGACTATATATGATATAAAATTCCGCAGGTTTTGTATTTTTCATGAGCGCATTCTTTTCAAATGAATGTATAAGATTTGAATTTATATTTTGATTCAAAAATTCACATACATTTTACTACCCTTCTTTTTGCGTAGAAGTATTCTATAAAATTAATTAGTTAGAATTTTATTTTAGTCGAAATTTACATTTTTCGACAAATTTTTATACTTAAAACAGAATTTTTAGGTACCGAATTTTTATTTGAGAGAATATTTCTTTTTATCCAATTTTTTTTTTTTTCATTTAACCCTTTAAGGTACACGACTTAATTATCAGAATAATAATTTCTAAAGTTTTTGGAATGCTGATTTACAAATATGATGACCGTTTTTGAAAATTCAATATGGAGGCTGAAAAATTTAGAAACTCATCAGATTTGTTTAAATCTCGTCAATCGGGGTTTTTCGAGGTCGCTGAACAGGAATCTGATATTCGTTTATGAAAATTCAAAATGGCGGATTCAGAACATTTTGAATTTTTTAAATAGGTACCGGCATATTTGTAATTAACGACCTCAAAAACCCTTGAATACCGAGTTTCAATCTGATCTGATAAATTTTTAAAATTTACGACCGCCATTTTGAATTTTTAAAAACGAACATCATATTCAGCGATAAAATTATATAATATTATTCTGTTAATGAATTTTATCCTCGATAATCATGGTCCCCCAAATTAAAATATTGTCTTTTAACAAAATTGTTGCAATGTTTAGAGAAATAAATTTTTAGCCTAACATTGTATATATAGTATGAGTGCGCCTTTTGTTTTATCACAAAGCGATAATAATGAGAGACCCACTTTAATGTTTATAATTGAGGTTATTCCCGCATAATGATTTCCTGCTCTTTAATTGTCTTCTACAAAACTCCGCCTCTTATAGAGTAAAAATACTTCATTCATCTCCTTTGGCAAAATCAGATCGTGGGAACGTGATACCAAGGGGAAGGGGAGATGAAATAACGCGACCCTCTCGCGCGCCGGACATGCCTCATAGGTCTAGCATTCAAGATAATTACTTAACTTAGCATTTCGCTTATTTCTTATATTCGTCTTCTATTACTTGTTCATCATATATATATGCTCTCGTACCTATGCATTAATCGGCTTTTGAATGCTCACGACAGGAAATGACTATCCATGCGATATAGAGAAACGAATGAACACAAGAAAATAAACGCATCCAGAGTCTTGCTTCATCTTATATATATAGTTTAATCCTTCCATCGTGCCGGATGCTGGTCATTATAATGTATCCCAAAAAAATAAAACGAAAGAAATAGAATTGAGTCCGGTTTATTGCCATTACTTACGTAAGTTGTGTTTATAACGTGAAGTTGAACTCGGAGAGTGTATATTTGCCGGTTGTCGCAACGCCATCAATAATAGGCCCCGTACCTGATTTTAAATGTACAGTTCACACTTTGTATTTTTTATGGAAAATTAGTTTTGCAATCGTATGGGCGTTCGTATGTTCAATTAGAATCGTGTTTAACCTAATCGAACAATGAATAATTTTTTGAGAAAATTTTTTACGATTTAGTATATAATGGAGAATTTAAAACAACAATTCGGAATAATAAATGCAACATTAATTGAATTTTAAAGAGTAAAAATAAGTATAACTCTTTTTCTATAAATAATGATGGAGAAAAATAGATAAAGAGAGAGAGAATAACTTTTGCAATAAAATATATGTATACGTAAAATATCAGAAAGAAATTATTATCATGTTTGAAATCCTGTAGCATTTAAGGTTTACAGTGTATATACCATTGAACATGTATCAATGGTGTAACCTGTAATTTATGTCAATTATGCAATACTGTGTATAGTTAACTGGCGCTTTGACGAAGCTCATTGCCTTGTATTTTGCAATAAAGGACTCAAGATAATTACCAGAGGATCAACAGAATTGCAGACTTAAATTTATTGCTTTTGGTCCTTTTTATTGCACAACATGCAATTCCAGACGGTCAAGGTAACAAATTCATTTTTTTTCCGTCGATATGTATGTTTATAGCCTCTTTTTAATCATGGCCTTGAATTTTACAACATTCAGCAAACTGTTATTTTTTTTTGGTATCAACTAAATGCAAATTTTTTATTCACTAAATATCATGTATTTGATATAGTGACCCCCATATTCATATGCGTCCAAATCATCTCTTATTTTCTTTGAAACCTATTGCTTGTAGCGCCTCTTGCGAGAAAATGATTAATCAGAATTATCGTCTGCTATCGAGAAGAAAAAGTTGTTTTTAGCATTTTTTAGTCAAAGATGCCAATGACCGTCAACAAACGCAACTGCACTTGTGCTACTATTTTATATTTTAATATAAGAAAATGTTTAGAAAATTATAAAAAAAAATGTTTTAAATTTATTGGTTTTTTAATCAAAATTAATTTTTGTCAGTTAAAAGTAACTAATTATAACAAGAATTTTTTTTATAGACCTAATTCATTTCAAATCAAGCAGGTTAAATATGGTTGGAGCTGAAAACACTTTGTTACAAAAAAAAAAAAAAAAAAATTGAAAAAAACTTTTTCTCCAACGCCTGCTCTGAAAGTGCAACTTTCTTGGTTAAAAAATTATTGGAAAAGTTGAACATTTATTAACTCCTTGGCCGAGCGTGGGGAAAGTAAATCGTAATATTTTTTAGTTTTTCTTTGATAAATAATAAATAAATAATAATAATTATAATAAATTATTGAACGCGTGAACTGCACTTTATATGATTAGATGACAACTTCTCGCAGCTTGATTGATATAGTCATAAATGGCCAGCCTTAACCTGTAATTAATACTTTTATTCTTTTTGTCAATGCATAATTTATGAGTTATCGGATTGATACAAATATAATAATAATTGTTGTAATTAATTATTATTATAATTTATTACTAATAGTGGATGATTAGTAATTACTAATAATAAAAGTTGATATGTAACAAAAAGTGAATCGAAATGTAACAATTGATAGTTTTTTAAAAAATAACAAAAAAATTTTTTTAAAAAAAAACTTCTTATGAAACCTATTGGAGGTTGTAGGTCACAAAAAACTAAGAAGAATGGTGTATATAAAATTCTCCAAACACCCCTAAATTTTCATTTTTGAGCCAGAAAACCATTTTTACGTATGTTTATGCATAAAAACCTTTGTAACTTTCTTCACAGGAAAAACAAAGTGTTATTTTAACACCAGAATTGGTGTTAAAATAACACGCAACAAATTTTACCCTAAATCTGGGTTAAATCTTATGGGTTTTAGCATTGGAGAAAATTACCCGCAACAAAAATAACACCATCTTTTTTCTGTGTTATTTCCGCACCGAAATCAAATTTTTTTTTCATTTTGAAGCTGAGAAACAGAGCTTTTTAGCCCATATTCGATATTTTTGTTTAAATTAATATTTATAAGAGAAGAATTACAAAAATGTCCAGAAGTTGTCATTTTTCTCGCAATTTTTCAACTTTAACTGATGTTTTCATCATTAATTTTAATTTAAACATTTTTTCTTTTCTAGCGCTATTAAAGCGTATTAAATTCTGTATCCAATGAGCCCTATTTGAATAGATTTTGTAAAAAATTAACTGAATTATACTATACTACATTTATACTGTACTATACATTTTTGTAATTTTTTTCTTATAAATATTAATTTAAACAAAAATATCATATATGGGCTAAAAAGCTCTGTTTCTCAGCTTCAAAATGAAAAAAATTTTTGATTTCGGTGCGGAAATAAGAAAGTTACAAAGATTTTTATGCATAAACATACGTAAAAATGGTTTTCTGGCTCAAAAATAGAAATTTAGGGGTGTTTGGAGAATTTTATATACACCATTCTTCTTAGTTTTTTGTGACCTACAACCTCCAATAGGTTTCATAAGAAGTTTTTTTAAAAAAAAATTTTTTTGTAGCACCGTGTAATACGGTGAAAGAAGTTGTTACTTTTACTCCTCAAAATGATGATCGCGTTATTAAAAAACAAATTGTTATGAAAGATCTTCTATAAGTATTATTTAACAATTACGTTTTATTATATGCAAAATGTTATGAATAAGTGCGTTTTACTTACTAATGTAAAATATCGAGAAAAAGCTTTTATGTTTCCATGTTTCATGTTTATTTCAAAATTTAATAAAAATTTTGTGAATTTCTAATTCTAGTAATTTTTATTTTCAATTTTTTCGGCAACAAAATATATTCACTTAAGTTTCTTACTTAAAAAACTAATTTACTTCCTTTTTTAATATGCTACTTTTTTTCAATTTAGAGGACACTTTTTTTCTTCAAAATGCTACTTTTTCACACTTTTTTTGGTTTCCTACTAGACTTCGAAGCCTGTAATTAATATCAATAAAGTACAAGGCATTTTTTTGTCTGTTCAAGCTCTTGTGTAAATATTAATAGGTAGGTAAGTAATAGGGGTCTACCTCTACTTGTATTGGGCTGTCAATTTTTTTTTACACATTTCCGTGCGCGTGTGTGTTGTTAATAAAATAATAATGATAAATAAAACATTTTTCATTTTAAAAAACCAAATAGTTGTCATTATATATAAAGCATATATACATTGTTAATTCTTCCTAATTAATAAAAATGCATTTCCTCGCGAGGTGTTGGAGGAAATGTCGTGTGCAACACGTGGGAAGGAATAATTTTTTTGAGTGTACAATGTACTATTATCGGACCTACTAGAGGTTGTAATTAACAAAAAACTAAGAAGAATGGTATATTAAAAATTTCCCTAACACCCCTAAATTTTGATTTTAGAGCCAAAAAATCATTTTCACTTTTTTATTTTTGCACCGATTTAAAAG